GTTCAACAGTTTCCTCCTCCTCTCCACATGCACTGCATACCGTGTCGACCCTTTGTGATTGGGCTGATAAGTCTTGGTTCGCAATACTCCAGCCCTGGCCTAAACAGTGGAGAACTCCCCGGAGTATTATCATAGACCCTTTCCTTGGCAATTTCCTGCGTAAAAGTGTGAAAGATCTCTAGTGCATACTTCTTAATCGTGCCTATTCTCCACATATCGGTCTCGGCTTCCTTCACCTTCTTCTTAACCGATAATTCTTTTTGGTTTGGCCCCCTGCTGTTTTCTAAGTATTTACCAATCAATTTTTTGGTTCGCTTCCTCCATTTTGTATCGACATTCTTCATGTACAAGTAGCTGAAAACTTTCTTAGCCCAATGCTCCTCCCCCTTTTCTCTCAATGACTTTTGAAATTTTATCTTGCTGCTAGCTTCCCTGCCCTCAAATAATGTCCATCCCATATAACCTTGTACTCCCTGATTTGGCATATTCTCGTGAGCTCCTAAAGCAAGCCTACCTATTCCACGTTGCTTAATTTCTAATCTTGCTTGAACTTCTGATCTCACGGACAAGACCGCATTGCCGAACGTCAGACCAGGAACCACGACACCTTTCCATATTCCTCTCACAACATCATACCTATTGTAATTCCAGAGTGCCCTATCTTTCATCACTGCTGCATTCCTGTTACCTTTAGTCGTTACGTTTTTTTCAAGTTCCCTTAGGTACTCGGTCCCATTGCTTATCCATACGCTCAGATATTTGTATTTATCTGTTATCGCTGTGCACGAGACCTCCTGTGTCCTAAGCTCGCTGCCTTCATTATCATTAAAAATCATGACTGCTGATTTTTCCTTACTGAATCTGTAATCTAAGGTGGCCCACCGAAAAAGAGCACCTGGGGGCCGAGTCGCGACACAAGTCAGCTGCTGGCGCTGAGACGACCGGCCGCAGTGTACCATCAAAAGGTAACACTCTGAGAGCACGTGCGCGTGCTGCTGCCGTGCTTCATTTTGGAACGAACACCTCGAAAAGCCATTGCGCCAGTAATACTGCATTGTGGTTTAGAAAAATAACTTTGTCCTAAAGCTACTCTCACATAAAAAGCACTAAACACAGAGAGAAGCCCTGCAAAGCAGACTGCGTCTATGCATATATAGTATCGAAGGGACAGTTCTCTGCCGTGATGGCAGCTCCCTCGTCCTCATTTTCTGGTTGTGTGCTTTGTTTTGGGCTAATCTAGTGCTGGCGGACATGCCCTCATTAATAAATTAAGTCCGTGCTGCGACTATACCATGCTGCCAACATCTGCAGTAAAACAAAACAAAAGCAAAGTAGGTGGTAGCTGCGTCTTTTTTTCCTGGCATCGTTTGTACGCCCTGTCTGCGGTATTTATGCATGGGGATGTTGATCCAGCACACCACAATGACAGCATAGCACGTGTGGTGTCGCGCTGCTATTCTTGAGGGAGCGGGATAGATGAGCATGGCCACTGCAGCCGCACTTCGATGGGGGTGAAATATAAAAAAACCACCCGTGAACCCAGATATATGTGCGCATTGGAGAACCCCAAGTGGTCACAATCTTGATACGCACCCTATACAGCATACCTCAAAATGATATCTTGTTTGGCTTATGAAAGCCTAGCAGTTATCGATGTTGAACAGACAGCGTCATTTTAGGCCGACACAGGCAAGCGGAAAAACTGAAACTGTGTTTTAGGCGAACTAAACAACGAGTAAGAATCGAAGACATTTGATACTTCTCTAGCAAGGCATATATTTTGATGTTACTTAGCCACGGCAGCCAAAAAACGCTTAGCGCATCTGCTGTCTCCACAAAGCTAAGCTTCAAATAGTCCACTGCTTTGTTCGTATCAAGAACTTGGTGTTTTGCACAAATTAAGTTAAGCAGAGGCATCTTGGCATCGAGTGCTCACCACGAGCTTAGGCGTAGGTGAACATGACCCCGCACAAGTATTGTGGATAAAGAAACTTTACTTTACACGCAACAGTTCACACACAAAACAAGAGGACTACTTGCCTATCGTATGATTCACTTCACGCGGTGGCATCAGATGGAGTTTGGTGGTGATGGTCAGATGGATGGACGCATGGTAACTGTTAGTCCTGAAGTGCATGACTCAACGCTCAGCGGGCCTCATAAAAAAAAAAAGTTTACATATGCCGCCTGTTCCATAATACGCTCGTTTTCTTTGTTTCTGGCAAAACGCCTTTAAACTTGAATGTTTGGCCTTGGTTTTCACTGGTGGCTGTCTCCACTATCGAATAAACAAAGCAGACATGTGCCATTCGGTTTGAAAACGAGCCTTACAGCACTTGACAGAAGAGAGAGAGCATAATTTTGCTCACCTGACCTCTTGAACACAATGCCGCCTCCTCTTGTTACGTCCTCCATTTCCTTTATACGTCCTCCCTGCTTTTATACACTGTTGCACTTGAATACGCAGCACGCCACCGCCCTTAAGTTTTGTTACGGCAATGCGCGCACGAACCGCCTCTGTCAGCCGCCACTCTCAACTGCAGGAGCAGCTTAGAAGTGCTCGCTCTCACCGCCGGGGCGGTCGTGCAAACTCCAGTGCTAACGAGCCTAGAGCAGAGGTTTAAAACTACAGCTCAAGGGGATAGGCTAGAAAAAGAAGAAGCTATTGAATATATAAAAACAAGAGTGTCAGAAAAATTTCAACAAAGAAGTGCTTTATGCACCACAATAGACAGTGATGAATCAAGCGGCGCAAAGGCTCCATTTTCACAACAAGAGTGGGGAAGGGCTGAGAAGAGGGTTCCTAGTAGTACATCAACAGGCCCAGCTGGCATTCCAATTATGCTTATAAAGACATTAGGTCCGAAGTCTAAGCAGGCTTTAAGAGAGGCAGTGAGCAAAATAATAATCGATGGTGAAGTCCCCAAACTTAGCAGGATGAGCATGATCTATAAAGGAAAGCGGGACAAAGCTGACATAAACAACTATCATCCTATAACAGTGACATCAGTGGTCTACAGGCTAGCGATGCAGATTATGAAGGAAAGATTGCAGGCATGGATAGAGAATAAGGAGGTGCTGGGGGAATAGCAGAAAGGGTTTCGGAAACACAGGAGGTTGGAAGACAATCTGTTCTCACTGACACAGTGTATCGAAATAGCAGAAAAGGAACACAGGCCCCTGTAGCTAGCATTTTTGGATATCAAGATAGCGTACGATAGTGTGGTTCAAGAGGACCTGTGGTGAATACTGCACACTTTGGTGTGGAAGATGGAGTCACTAATCTTTTAAAGGATATCTATAAAGGTAACAAGGCAGATATAAAGTGGGAAAAACAGGTACCCAAGCCTGCAGAGGTAAATTGGGGCTTAGGCAGGGGTGTCGTCTGTCACCCTTGTTATTCATAGTGTATCTACAATGATTAGAGGCCAAATTAGTGGGAAGTGGACTGGGCTTCAACCTCTCTTTCGTCAAACAAGGAAAACTCATTGATCAGGCACTACCAGCATTAATGCACGCAGATGATATAGTGCTAATAGCCGACTACAAGGAAGATTTGCAGAGAGTGATAGACATCTGCGGTAATGAAGGAGATAGATTAGATTTCAGATTCAGTAAGGAAAAATCAGCAGTCATGATTTTTAATGATCATGAAGGTAGTGAGCTTAGAATACCGGAGGTTACGCTAGAGATAACATATAAATACAAATATCTGGGCGTATATGGATAAGCAATGGGGCCGAATACCTGAGGGAACACGAAATATACGTGGCGACTAAAGGTAACAGGAATGCAGCAGTGATGAAAAACAGGGCACTGTGGAATTACAATAGGTATGATGTTGTGAGAGGAATATGAAAAGGGGTCATGGCTACTGGTCTGACGTTCGGAAATGCGGTCTTGTGCATGAGATCAGAAGTTCTAGCAAAATTATGAATTAAGCAACGTGAAATAGGTAGGCTTGCTTTAGGAGCTCACGGGAATACAGCCAAATCAGGGAGTACAAAGTGATATGGGATGGACATCATTTAAGGGCAGGGAAGCTAGCAGCAAGATAAAATTTGAGAAGCGATTGAGAGAAATGGGGGAGGAGCATTGGGCTAAGAAGGTATTCAGCTACTTGTACCTGAAGAATGTCGATACAAAATGGAGGAAGCGAACCAGAAAATTGACTGTTAATTACCTAGACAACAGCAGGGGGCCAAACCGAAAAGAATTATCGGTTAAGAAGAAGGTAATGGAAGCCGAGGCCGATGTGTGGAGAATAGGCATGATTAAGAAGTCCGCATTAGAGATCTATCGAACTTTTAAGCAGGAAATTGTCAAGGAAAGGATCTATGATAATACTCGGGGTAGTTATCTACTGTTTGAGGCCAGGACGGGAGTATTGCGAATCGAGACATATCGGGCCGAATACGAAGGGATAGACACGGTATGCAGTGCATCCCGGCTGCGGCGGCTGCATTTCCGATGGAGGCGGAAATGTCGTAGGCCCGTGTGCTCAAATTTGGGTGCACGTTAAAGAACTCCAGGTGGTCGAAATTTCCGGAGCCCTCCACTACAGCGTCTCTCATAATCATATGGTTTTTTTTTGGGGACGTTAAATCCCACATATCAATCAACAGTATGCAGTGCGTGTGGAGAGGAAGAGCAAACTGCCGAACACTTGATAATGTTCTGTAAAGGGCTTCACCCTATAGTTCAGGGTGGCGCAAATGTTTTCAAAGCACTGGGATTTAGGGAGTGGGAGGGCAAGATAGACTTTAAGCGGGTAGAATTAACAAGAAGGTTATCTAATTGGTGGCTAAAGTCACGGCACGAGTGAAAATTAAACCCTTCACTGCAAAGTACCAGTCCTCAACTTTACTGTTTAAAGAAAAAAAGATGGATCTTGTGGTTAGTTCATTAAATATTACAGCTAGGTGGCGATAGCCGCCGCCTAATTTAAAGGGTACAGCCACGTTCATTCATCCATTCACCCAACGGAAAAAGAAGTATAGCCAATAATAGCCAGAAAACTATGCTACCTATGCGTCCGCGTCTCGCAGATCTGGGACTTTTGAATGTGTTATCCTGGTGTTGTTTGCATTATTTATTCAAGGTGTGAGTGGTAACTTTATTTGTGACCGCTGCGTAAAGTGAAACCGCGACGGGTGACGTCCTCTAGGTGAAACGCGCGTAATAATGGCCTTCTTTACACTTCATAGCCTCCTAACTAGAGGAGGCAGTGGTGCAATGGACGGCATTCTGACAGCGACTAATGCATCGACGGATGTGAAACCGAGTGTTGAAGACTTGGTTGACGAAAATCATTCCGCGAACGAAGTTGCGGTAGACGTGAAGGCTACTGTTGATCACGGACATTATGCGAACGATGTTACGACGGACGTGAAGCCGAACATTGAGCATGGTGCGAATGAATTTACGTTGGACGTCAAGCCGAGTGTTGATCACAAACATTATGCGAAGAAAGTTACGGTGAACTTGAAGCCGTTAGTTGATCACGGACATTATGCGAATGAACTTATCGCATTGGTGGACAAGAAGCCCAGTGTTGATAATGGGCTCCATGCGAATGAAATTGCGGTGGACGTGGATCCGTGTGTTGATCACGGACACAATGCCAATGAAGTTACAGTGGACTTGAAGCCGATTGTTGATCGCAGGCATAATGCGGATGAAGTTATGGAATTGGTGGATGTGAAGCCCAGTATTGATGATGGACATGATGCGAATACAGTTACTCTCTGTGAAGGTAACGCACAGCTTGTTTGGTAATCTTTGGCATGATTATAATAAACTGCGGAGTGCCTCTTAAATCTTATCAGCCGATGTGGTGATTGTTTCATTAGGCTCAGGCTTATTACAGTCGCGTTATAGCAGTGAAATCCAAGAAGTGTTCAATGAATGCACAATATGTAGTCGTCCTGTTTGTTTCATACTAAATGTTGCTCATATTTTATTTGGTGCCTTTCATCTGCTCGATTATATAGATGTTTCTATGCGAAGCATTAATAATTAGTTAAATGGGTTAGTGTAAAAATGTGCGTTCAATATCGGCGGCAGCGGTCGCACTTCGGTGTAGGCGAAATACTACAGGTGCATGTACTTAGACATAGGTGCACGATAGCAGGCCCAAGGTAGGCTAAATATCCAAAGCTATGCACTGTTATGCCTCATAATTGTGTGGTTACTGAGAAATTTGTACTGATGCTCCCATTATCATACTTTTTCAACATGATACAAGGCGTTGCACGCGATTACACACAGCCAGCATTGTGAAGTGCGTACGTGTGGGCCTTATTTACTATTTTGAGCATATTTATCTACAAAATGTGCTACCCGGCATTTATTGACCTAATTTGGTGTGTTAGCCCTCCCCTAATTTCCCAAAAACATAAATGGAAGGGCCACTGAAGCGCTGAGAATTGCACTCTTCGCCAACAGTGTACTTTCCGGTACCGTCTCTCTCGGCATAGTGTTCTAGAATAGGTGCACTGCGTTGTAGTACACTATTCTCTCGGGGCAATCATCTTAACGACCGCCATGCTGGATGAACAGTGTGTGGGGGGGGCGGAGGTGATTGGGGTCATACCTTATGCACGTTCATGTGTGTGTTTTCATGTGTGCGCATGTGCAACTGAAAAATATCTAGACTGCGTGGGTAGAGTGGGAGTTAAGCAACTTCTCCTCCCCTACTAGCTATGCCGCTGGTGAAGATTCTCAGATGAGCCATCAAGCTGCTGTAAAGTATACAGTATAAATAATACCTCACTTCCAACATAAACGAGACTATCTACTCGACTACCAGTTCTTAAACTAAAGGCAACAATTAAGTTAACGTTGATTGAAGTAGCGGTCCAGAAACCTCGTAGTGTCACTTTCTAGCCAAGGAAGGGCCTATTTTGAAATAAAATCTTGTTTTAGTGGTCCGCATAGGGTTAGCGCACTTCAAGTTACCCGCCTTAAAAAGTGGACCGACCAAACTGACTCACGTCACTATTGCCATGCACAACGTTGCCCGGCTTTACTTCTATTGTAGCAGTACACCGAAAGCAGCAGGAGCCACAGGAGCAACAACGGCCATTGATCGATTTCCCGTCATTGGCTCCGAGATCGCAGATATCGTTTGGCTAAACTGCGCCTCGGTAGATGGCACCACTTGTCCAGTGTAACTACCGAAAATTGAATTTTTTCAACCACACGTACCATTCCCCATAGAATTGTCTGGCAGTTTTTTTTTTACATGAATCAAACAGAAACAAACAAATAGCATTTTATTGCCTTTCTTGATGCATGGAAGGTTCTTTATATAGCGCAGCTAAATCGATTACTAGTGACTAATTGTAGGCAGTCCGCCTGATATCATTGGGATAATTTTGAGAATGTCCTACTGCGGCGTATTTTTTATTGTGCATTTAACTAATTTCTCGGTAAGTAGGGCACTGTTGTAGGTAATATTGTCGTCTTAGATGTTGTCATACATTGAGCTTTCACTCTGACGTAAATTGTTATTTGAATTTAGTGTCTCTTTAATATAAGTTTGTTTTTCACTTGTGTAGCCATACGACAGGCTTTTTGTCTTGGGGAGCAGGGTTCTCGCCTGAAAGCGAAAAAAAAAAAAATGAAGCATTTGTATTGCGATAGAGTTTATCTATGCACTGCATCAATGCTAATAACGTGCCATAAGACTTACATACTGAATATGAATAAATATTTTTATTAAGCGCATAAAACACACCTTCAATATTTGCAGAACTCCCCAGGAAAGTAGCATTTGTGACTGTAAATCTCTAAGCTGGATGGCTGATTTAGAAGTCGCCACACTGATTACATTCCTTATAGTGCACTTCTGTAGACAATGGAATGTATATGGTAGCCCCACTCCCATTTCGACTTCTTAGTTGAAAGCACCAAGTTTGCCGTCTGTATTGTCAGTGGGTTTCTGCTGAAGATTGCTCTTGCAAGTGCAACATTCCGCTTCATTTACGTAGGCGAAAATCTGGTGGAGATACACAACCTAAAAAAAAATATTTTTCAAGTTTGTAAAATAATAGCTTTTTGTAGTATCATTAATTTTTGGCTAACACATGGAGCTTTCAGATGAGGTGCATATTTTTAGTCTATCACCAATACGGGTTTTCTCACACTGAATAGAGGAGTTTTTTCCCCCAAAAATTGAAGACCATTTGCTACAAATTTCGTGCCTAAATTATTGTTAATTTATAATATGTTAAACAGGACACCAGCAGATTTGTGTCCTTCGAGCTTGCCGTGCTCCCGATAACAAATTCGTGAATCGGCAATCTAATTCGATATTATCGTCTGAAAAGTCCTCGGAGAATTGATATGCATAACTGAGTCATTATTTTTACAGTCAGATCGCTTCATTACCTTGCGGCAAATACCATTTTATCGCATGCATTCTAATAACATTAAAAATATATTGTTCTTTGACGCTCTCTATCTCAGTCGGCGCCAAACTGCAGACTTTCATAAATAGGAGGGTGAATTTTTGGTAATGGAAAAAACGACTAGGATGAGTTTCAAACTTCAAAAAAACATGAGGAAATTTTTTCAGCCATATTCAAGAGGGTCAGAAAAACACTGGATGATTTGACATGGAATGACCCAGATGGCAACTTGTATTAAGCATGTCCTGAATAAATGTACTGCTTTGTTAAAGTAACACATTTGCACTGGCAAAGGTTGTCGTATAAACTGATTTATAAGTGCAGAAATTTTTGTTATTTTGCTGCTCAAGTCTAGTTCTATGTGTGTGGAATATCTGATTAGCATTACCTTGCTGTGCTTCCTGTGGCTATGCAGGTTCCTTGCCTGCGGCATCTCAGGACCAGTACCATTCACTCGTGTTTGTAGAAGATGGACTGCATTCCTGCCGTCAGTGTGCATATACAACCAGGATTAAGGCGAACATGAGAGTACACCTTCGCCGACACACAGGGGAGCATCCCTTCCAGTGTCACCTTTGCCCGGCTACTTTCACTGCGAAATTCCATCTCACAGAGCACATTCGCACTCATACCGGAGAGCGTCCTTTCTCCTGCACGCAGTGCAATGCATCCTTTTCACTGAAACACAACCTGAAGGAACACTTGCGCACCCACACAGGAGAACGTCCCTTTTGCTGTGTTCACTGCAGTAAATCCTTTTCAAAGAAATGTAACCTGAAGCAGCACATGCGCACCCACATGCCCAACCGCATTATAGAGCGACCCTTTTCTTGTGGCCAGTGCAATGCATCCTTCACATCCAGATTCCAAGTCAAGCAACATATCCGCACCCACACAGGAGAGCGTCCTTTCTCTTGTCTCTACTGCGATGCATCCTTTTCACGAAAGCGGGATCTCAGGAGTCACGAGCGCATCCACACAGGAGAGCGTCCATTTTCCTGTGATAATTGTGATGCAGCCTTTGCGCAGAGGCGCAACCTCGTGCTGCACATGCGCACCCACACAGGCGAACGTCCCTTTTCCTGTGGCCACTGCGATGCATCCTTTTCAGTGAAGCGCAACCTCAGTAGTCACGTGCGCGCCCACACAGGAGAGCGTCCGTTTTCCTGTGGCCACTGTGATGCATCCTTTTTATCCAGAAGCAACATGAAGCGACATATGCGCACTCACACAGGCGAACGTCCCTTTTCCTGTGGCCACTGTGATACATCCTTTGCACGAAAAAGCAGCCTCGTAGTGCACACTCGTACCCACACAGGAGAGCGTCCATATTCCTGCATCTACTGTAATGCATCTTTTTTCCGAAGAAGCACGTTCAATCGCCACATCTTAGGACTTCATCCCAAGGAAGCCCTGAAAGGCAGGGGTGCCAGTGTTCCTAATGTGGAGGTAACTTGACTGATTTATTCTGCTAGAAGGTGACCTTATAAAAAAACAAAACTCTTTACTGCCGAGTGTTGCAAATTCACGACATGCTGGAAAACTCTGAGCAAGCAAGTGAAGAAATTTGTGCCGCCTTTAACGCCGGTTGTGAAGCACTCACAAGGGACATAGCTTTCAGCAGGGAAAATCTAGCACTGTTTTCTGTAAAGAATTTCATGCTCGAACCAGGTGTTGTGTAGCTGATGGTAGAGCTTCTCAATGCATGCTCAACGTCTCTCCCTTCATTTTTGATCCCCTGAGTAACATAGCTTAGTCTTCTGTAATTTTTGTGGCGTAATAAATGCAAGCTTGCTACTCAGAGCTGAAAATAAGAAAAGAATTTTTTTTGGCAGTGTGATAATTCAGGAATTAAAAGGCCAAGGTGCCCCGAAAAGTTTTCACAATCCTCGGCTGTTGAGTTTAGAGAGACATAATTATCCATAAGAATTTCTTAGGTGTCCAGATGACATTGCATATAATACAGGAAGTTAAAGGTTTGGTTTGCCATAAAAGTGATACATGTGAAAGTTTCCAGTGCTATGGTTCTAAGCACTGAAAAATAAATAATTACCTAGCTTATGAAATATTTCCCCTTGCGTATTAGTATGTTCGACGTAACCTGAAATCCCTTTATGCACCGCTGCAACGGTAACTGGGTGTGGTATCTGGGTGAGGTTCTAGGTTCTTGCAGTTTTTTTCTTTTTTCTTTTTTCAAGTACGTGGCACAATCACCATGTGGTTATGAGGGACGCTGTAGTGAGGGTTCTGGAAATTTCAATTGCCTGAGGTTCCTTATAGTGTGCCTAAATCTAAGTACACAGGCCACTAGCATTTTTGCCTCCATTGGAAATACTGCTGTCACAGCCCAGATTTGATTCCGCAACCTTTGGGTGAGCAGTCGAGCATTATAACCACTGGGACATTATGGTGGGTCAAGGTTCTTTTAGTAATGAGAAGTATAGAGTTTAATCAAAAAGGCAATTCTACATTTGATTAGATCAACTTCTTTTGCAAAGTTTTGTCTGCAAACTGTTGATCACTACATGAATCCAAGAAATAAATTGAGGAAACCTGTATATGCCTGTGCATAGCTAATTAAGTAGAACAAGCATGAAACACATGAATAAAAATACCAAGAATGCAGTAATACATGTATGGCAGATATAACTGTTCTTGATTTTGTTTTGGAGCTTCTTATCCAAATATAAGAAGCTCCAAATCCCAGAAATGCAGAGCCGGGCTACGTTAGCTACCTTTTAAAAGCGAAGCGCTCACTTCTGTTAGGCACACTCGCGTACTGGCTTTTGTAAGTGCGCATTGAAACGATGCGAACACGGTAGTAATTTTACAAGCCCGTCGTCTCGTTATTTACCTTGTCTCACCGAAGCAGCCTGCTTCAAAATGTATTCTAAATAAAGGTCCTCATGATTCTTTTTGACGCTTAACTTTCTTCCCTCATAGCGCACTCTCATTTGCCGCGCATTACGACGTCTTTCGGAACCCTGAAACGTACAAAAAATTATTCAAAGTATCTCTGTGCACCTGGGTGCCGATAGGAAGTATATGTAGGCGCGAATGCAGTCGTAGTCATGAAAATATGCGAGGAAAAGCGAGCGGGCGAAGCGTGCCTTCTTGCACATCAAAGGTTTTACATGGTGTCCGATTCACACGATTAGCGTAGCCAAATACTACCCAAGAGCCCACCATCGTCGTTTTTTAATGTCATCACAGACATGTTCAAAACCATCTTGCTTAATTAGAGGCATCACACGCAACATTACTGGCACTAAAATAATGCGAAAGCCACGTAAGCTACAATGTGCCCATCCGCTTTCTGCCCTGAGCCATATGGCGGTGATCCGCTTCAGCCACAGAGCCCCTCCGCCACTCCAGAAGTTTTAGTATAACCTCCTTGTCTCGTGGTCACCTTCTTAACTTCGCGTGAACCAAAATTAGTATGGGAGGGTAAGATGGTTTTACACATACGATGCGCTGGTCAAGACATGAATAATGTCATCTATCTCGTCACGTACGTATGTCAAACACTTCCAGTCAGGCATTGGCACATACCCACGGGCGGGTATGTGCCGCGGATGTGTTGCACAGGTGATTGACATAAATAAACAAGACAACGTGTGTATTGAAGATCTACTAAAATACAGACAAAAATTAGCTATTATTAACCCGGATTACACAAGGAAGTAGCAATTTTATTATATTTTTAATAAGAAGTGTCATGTTATGAAACCAAAAAACACAGGAGTTGAGAGGAAAACACAAGCTTAAAGAAATCAAAAATTTGTAAACGTGGTTTGTCGCTAGTGCCATCATCCCAACATGCGGACCTCTTCAAGGTTTCAACTGCCTACCTTATCTGAATTGTGTACGGCAGATTTGTCAAGATGAAGGAAAGACACATACAATGGTGCTAACCATCAGCAAATGACCACAAAACATTTCAGATACGTTGCACCGACAAGGCCGACAGTCTTCCATTGCCTACCTTAGTGCATTTTATATTGCCGCGACAGGTTGGCCACGTTCAAGTAGCCCGCTGCAATCATCGTGGCGCGAGGACCAGCAAGGCCCGGCTGGCATGCGCCACGCGTTGGTGCACTCGGGCTACGAGGAAGAGGAAGATAGTTGAATCTGTGCCACTCGGCTTCTCGGACTCGACAACCATAGTCGTTAGACTCGTGGGCACAAGTTTGCCCTAATAAAGACGCTTGTTTTTTAGCCTGTCTGCCTCAGCATCGCTACATTTCTGGTGGAGGTGCTGGGTAATGAATCGAAGCCCCACGAGCTCAAGACAGCGTAGCCCCGACGACTAGCGTGTCAACCCCGTGGAAGTGACTCCTGTACACCAGAGGGCAAGTCGCTGTATTCGAGGTGACTTCACCTGAGTTCAGTCCTCTTCACTTCACACCAAGCGGAAGTCAAATGATGGACGCCACCACTATGACTAGCCAGGTAACACCGGCACAAGTGTTCATCAGCCAACCGCACCAGCCGCCAGTATTCCACGGCGACTCGTACGAGGACGTTGAAGATTGGTTGGACCTGTTCGAGAGAGTGGCGAGCTTGAATGGATGGGACGAAAGAAAAAAGCTCCGTCGTGTATACTTCGCGCTGGAAGACTTCGCAAAGACATGGTTTGAGAACCATGAAACCTCGTTGTCCTACCGTGGGAGGTATTTTGATGACAAGCTGTGACTACGTTCGCGAACATAGACCAGAAAGAAAAGGCGGAAGCTGCTCTTCAATCGAGGAACCAGCTCACAAACGAGAGTGCTGCCACGTCTGTTCAAGCGTGCGGATTACAACACGGCTGAGGATAAGAAGGTGCGCCATCTAATGCGTGAAGTGAAGCAAGAGCTGTTCGCCGTTCTCGTCCACAACCCTCCAAGCACAGTTGCTGAGTTTTATTTGGAAGCGACGGCCATCGAAAAAGCACTGGAACAGCGGGCTCGGCAGTACAACTGGAATCTTAACTGCGCATCTGCGCAGGTATTTTCTGGAGGCGTGCGAAACGATGTTGAAGCCCTGCAAGAGCTCATTAGATCAGTTATTAGGAAGGAACTGAGTAGACTGCAAATGCCCCAGACTCCAACTGCACTATCTGTTACAGACGTTCGTGACGAACTGAGGCAGGTCATACGAGAGCCAGAGCGTGAGCTGCAGCCCGTTCGACCTATCCGAACATACTCTGAAGTTCTCAGACAACCCACAGTACACAGCAATGCAGCAGTTGCAATGGCGGCGACTCCTCTCCCACCTGCAACACGCAGCGCACCTCGTCCACGGGAACCAACGGCTACCTATCTGCCCCCAGGAGCAGCACATAGCACACATCGCTATGTGAAGCATAGGCCCAGGAAAAGTGACGTCTGGCGTGATTACGAGCGCAGGCCTCTGTGTTTTTATTGTGGCGAAGCGGGTCATCTGTACAGCTCTTACCGACAGGCTGGATTAAGAGGCTTCCCGTCGTATGCACCGTGCCCCCGAAACGGCGAATGAGCAGCGGAGTTTGAGAAGTATTTGTCCACGCGCCAGAACTCACTACCTCTACGCCAACATCGGTCACGGTCACCATCGCCTATGCGCTACCGGTCATCCAGCCCACGTGCACCTTCAAGGCAGCCTGGTCATCGTTCTCCAAGTTTACTCCCGGAAAACTGAAGCAAGGGACCTGTGGAGGTGATGCCAGTGATAATATCAGTTACGAAAATCCTCCAATATGGCTTGAGGGCCGCGACGGTGTATTTCCGGTAAATGGGTGCAGCAACCAAAATGTGTTACTTCATATTTGCAGTTGAGAATGGAAGGATGGGAGCTGAATGCCTTAGTCGACGCCAGTGCTGATTATTCAGTGATAAGTCACAAGATGGTGAAGAAGCTAAACAAAGTTGTGACACAGTCGAGTTGATTGCAGGTACGCACGGCAGGTGGTCACATTAATACGCCCCTTGGCAGATGCACTGCAAGACTTGAAATGCAGGGCTTCATTTACGTTGCCGATTTCATTGTGCTACCAGAATGTTAAAGGAGACTCATTATAGGAATGAATTTTTTGCGAGCTAATGGCACTTTAATTAATCTACGTAGGTCCAGCGTGTCATTTTCGACTGAACAAGCTATACCTGTAGAGAAATCTGAAGAACGATGCCTAACTGCTCTACGCATTGTTCATGATGACGTAACTGTGCTGCTACGCTGCAGTGTAATGGTGCTCGTAGAGATTGACGCATTGTATACAACCCCGAAGGCACAGCAGATACAAATGTAAGGCTGTTTTTGAACAAAGATATCTGCGTAGCTCGGGGTCTTGTTCACTTGACGAATGGTCGTGCAGATGTCCTACTTACAAATTTCTCCAATGAACTTCAACACCTCGCTCAAGGCACTGCTATTGCCTATTTACACGACTTGTGTATGGCGACCGAACTATGCAGCTTAACGACGTCAACGACTCGACCAGTGGCCTGCCACATCGACACATCCGTGACCGTCAAACAGCCTTCTGGACAGTCAAAAGAAACAGATTTACGCCTTGGTAAAAGAATTCTCTGATTGCTTTTCAAGTGCCTCGAAGGTCCAGCGCACGTCAATCACGAAACACATAATTATAACGCAAGACGACACGAGGCCTATATGCCAGCATCCATATCGAGTGTCACAGAAAGAAGGGAAATCATTAAGAAGCAAGTGGAGGAGATGCTTTCGGATGATGTCATCCAGCCTTCGAATACTCCATGGGCGTCCCCCGTAGTGCTCGTTGAGAAGGAAGACAACACGCTTAAATTCTGTGTCGACTACCGAAAACTGAACAGTGTAACTAAACGAGATGTCTACCCCTTGCCACGTATCGACGATACACTAGATCGGCCGCGATCCGCAAAGTTTTCTCCTTCTTGGATCTGAAAAGCGGATATTGGCAAATAGAGGTCGACGAGCGGGACCGTGAAAAAACGGCATTCGTAACACCAGATGGCCTCTACGAATTCAAAGCACTTCCATTCGGCCTCTGTTCCGCCCCAGCGACATTCCAGCGAATGATGGACACTGTTCTCGCGGGATCGAAATGGCAGTCATGCCTAAAGCATTTGGATGACATGGTGCTATTCTCTGCAATGTTTGAAAAACATCTAGAGCGACTACGCGCAGTATTACAAGCCGTCCGGTCAGCAAACTTGACAATCAAACCCGAAAAATGCCACTTCAGCTTAGAATAGCTGCGATTCCTTGGACATATCATTAGTTCTGACGATGTTCGTCTTGATCCCGAAAAGACAGTCGCTGTTCAAAGGTTCCCTACACCCAGAAACAAAAAGTCAGTGCGTCGATTTTTGGGTTTATGAGCCTACTATAGGCGATTTGTGGAAAACTTTTCGGAGATTGCAGATCCTCTTCCAAAACTGACAAAAGACGACGTGCCCTTCACATGGGAAAGCGAACAACAGAAAGCTTTTGATGAATTGAGAAAATGACTACAGGGTTCACCAATACTTGCCCATTTTGATGAGAGAGCCGACACTGAAGTCTATACCGATGCCAGCAATGTCGGCCTCGGCGCCATCCTGGTTCAGTGGCAAAATGGTCAAGAGAAAGTGTTTTCCTATGCCAGCCGCAAACTCTCAAAAGCTGAGGCAAACTACCCTGCAACTGTAAAAGTGTGCCTCGCAGTCACCTGGGCAATAAATAAGTTTCGATCCTACCTTTATCGTAGACCGTTCAGAGTTCTCAGTGACCACCATGCTCTATGCTGGCTGGCAAATCTCAAGGACCCGTCAGGTCGACTAGCAAAATGGAGCCTTAGGCTGCAGGAGTATGACACTAATACAAATCTGGAAGGAAACACAGTGATGCCGACTGGCTGTCACGCTCTCCCGTCGATCCAAATGTACCTGAAGAGGAAGGCTTCCCGTTTCTAGGCGTT